TCTAATTTTTGTGTACCATCAATGGAAGAATGTATCGTAAGCTCATTGGCATTAGATCAGCACAAGTTTAAATTTTGAGATCACTGGGAGCTGGGAAATGTACTCTACTTTGATTACTTGGACGATAGTCATCTAGTATCTGACAATTCCTTTGTTTGAGAACTGTAATAGCATATTTATTTCTTCATAGCAACATGTTTGATTGATGCGAGACAATAGTTATCCCGTAAGTACACTATTTCTAGCTCCCATGCTGAAGAACATTACCACAAGTCTGAACCTTCCCATGGGTTATGGAATTTGGAAGTCGTTAATCTTTTTTTTATTGAATGTACTTGTATGATTGGTGTTTTACAGTGCTTTATGATCATAATGTTAGTGTGATACATGGAAAGATAGGAAGAAATGTTACCTTGGATTTCTTTTTTGTTGGTCTCCATGTTTTGTTTTTGCTGAATGTTTATAAAAAATAATGATGATGACAATGGCATAAGTTTTGAATTTCAGAAGTTTTGAGTGTTTGTAGTTGGAAATGCGAGTTGATTAATTTCAAATTTCTAGGCACAATGGCGAAGGTCAAATTGGCTTAAAAGGAGGTTGAAGGCATTGCTAAGAAGAAGAAAAGAAGAAGAGGGTCGGGAATTGTGATTGGTGAGTGCTCCGGGCTATTTTGTGCTTTCCTAATCCTATATATGTTTTGATTATTACAGTTTTGTCTTCATTTTCCATTGTCTTAGTTAGAGCTGATGTTTTCACTTTGTTAACCATCAAATAATATTAATGTCTTTGCATTTATTTTGTCACAACATTGAAGATAACTCCAACGAGAATAGAACGGGTACTTAGCATCCACGGACTTGTTGCCATACTTTTACTTTCGATTGGTTGTCTAAGGGTTATTGAACTTAGTAATACAGAGGGCTAAGACCAACATTTTAAAATGACATATTATTTTTTCATGACTGTTCTTTCACATGAAGTGTAAACATTCCTACATGTATAACTATGAAATCACAGTGAGCCTCAGTAATTCTCGACATATAGACAGATGAACTTTCGTTCCCGACAGTTAGATTGTCTACAAATACAATCATCGACGGATGAGCTGTCGTTCTCAACAGTTAGCTTCAGTAATTCTCGACACATGCACTTTGAAAGTTGAACTGTCGGGAAAGACAGTTCCTTCTTTTACTACAAGTTTAACTTTGGTTCCCACACTGCACATGTGTTTCTGCATTTAACATGTATGAAATGCGATGATCTCAGAGTTGTTGATTGATTCGTCGTTGTACCTTATTTGTCCATATTTGCATTTTTTCAGCCTAACGTCTCATGTGTGTTTGAAATTGCATGATCTGACGTATTCAAGTTTTGTTTTGTCGCAAGACACATGAATTTTAAATTTCTAGTCCCGGAGAATGCATGGATGAGGGCCCACATCTCGTAGAGAAATTATCTGCAATACGTGAAAACTGCCCTAGAGTATTTCGATGCCTGACAGCATACGGACTTTCGTAACTCATGCCTCGGGTTCTTGTCCGAGGTTCCAGTTCTCCAATTCTCTGCCCAACTAATCCAATAGCTCGTGTTTTGGTGCATACGAACTGATAAGGCCCACGAACTATGGTTCAATTTGCAAGAGCACTTAGCCAGGTTCGGCTTGCAAGAGTATGCTGTCGTGACGAGTTTAATGTGTGGTCCTTTTCTAGATGCCGACGCAATGGACCGAGTTCTGCAGATGAGGAGACTGAAAGATAAATACTTCAAATTAATAGACAGGATCACGTGTGCCAAACTCGATAAGGCCTTTCTCCTAGCGTAGATGCCCCGGGCCGATCGGTACAAGCTCGACCTTGCTCTAATCATTGAAGGAGTGTCCAATGCTCCAGATAGCCATGCCAGTATCGAAATTCTGACTTTGTCGATCTTAGACGACCAGGACATTTTCTTTTCATATCCTTGGGGTAGAGTATTCTACAGACGTCTAATTAGAGGCTTCGGAGCCAGTTTGAGACGAAAATTTGTAGATGCCAAGAGCAAGAAGGAGAATGCAGGCAACGAGTTGTTACAATTTTTGTTGTAGAAACACCTGTCACATTCAGTCGTAAATTTATTTGGTAATGTTATCCATGTTATTGTTGTTGGGCTAGAGATTCGTAGTTTTAATGTTCAAAACTCGTTGCCAAACGATGTGTGGTCCAAAGGCACACACACTCGTTCGTTCCATTTGTCGTTATTTAACGTGGATACTTCGAGTTGTTAGATCATATTTAGTTGTACGAAACATTAAATGTTAGCTCGTTCTGCATGTTCATCTCACTACAAATTATGTATTCCAGCAGTTTTCGGTTTGTCATCGTGCATGTTCGTTGCATGGTTCGACTGAAAGAAGAAGATTTGTCATATTGTCGTGATTCAATTATGTTTTCGACTTTTTAGACTATATGAAAAATACAAAGTTGTTCAACTGATTTAAGTATTATACAATATAAAGTGAATGGTAAATACATGCATGAACAAGGAATTATGATGTTACACATGGGTACAATTGAAAAGGAATTTAAAAGCATAAAGTGAATGCCAACAACTTCTCTCAGAAAAATTCAATTGTGATGCTAGACATGGGTACTAATCTTCACAATTTTCACCATTTAAGGACAACTCCTAAGGAGTAAAGTACACTTAGACCTTCATCCATCACACCAATTGTCTCTCACATTTCAAGATGGATTGGGCTTGGTGGTTGGGCACTAAATGTTGTTAAATGCTTCCCACCAATATCTTAAGTATATATAGCATGGCAAGTCCACAAGAACAGTTAGACTTAAGACTTGGATACTTCAAAATCTTTGTGAGACATAATACTACTCACTTATCTACACAGTTTCAATCCATATTCTCATATCAAGACTATGGTATCGTCGACGAGGAGTAATGAACCATTGAATGTTGAGGAGCCACTGCCCACACCCGATTCATCCCTACTATGTCCCATCGTCATTTTTTCAGACGATGACGAAGTGAGTTGTGAAAGTGGTAGGAGAGCCATATCCATCGTTCCATTTTCGAACCTTGACGATGTTGTAAGTGAAGCTTCCCAATCTTCGAAAAAGTGCTTGATTGGATTGTCCCATTATGGTTCTGGAGGAAGTTGGGTCAGACAATAATGAGTGTTTGGCTCGCGTTCCATCTCCCAAGATCATTGTCATCAACTCGGATGATTCGGATGACGACGGTTCGAGTGTCGACAATAAATGAAGTGGCCGAACTTCCGTATGTGGTGTATGTGTGAATGTGAATATGTGTAGTTCCTTTTTGGTCAGGGATGGATCTGGTAAGCCAGTTACGCAATGTTCTGTATGAGCACCTCCCTTGTGCATGTTATGTTTTATTAATATTTTGATACTGCACCAACTATCGACAATGACAGAAACGGTCTGTCGGGAACGACAGATGTTTTGTCGGGAATGACAGATGAACTGTCGAGATGTAATGCAATAGGTTCATGTTTGTAAGTGTTCGTATTTTGCGCATTTAATAAAACATGTGTTATCCTGTATGGCTACCATGTGTACTACAAATGTATGTATTCGACAAAGACAATGGATTTTATAGACTAAATAGGTTGGTCGGGCTTATTTGATTCGTGCTTATTTGATTTTTCTATCCTAAATCGTCTTTCAAACACAATTTTTTACGTTTAGTGATTTTCGTGTTGTTCTGTAATAGCATTCCCTGATTAATTTGATGAAGTGGCCAACGCAGCGAATGCGTAGAGTAAACAATGGTTGTTGTGAAGTTAAACACGTCGTCTCCGATCTTGAAATGATAATGGAATATTGTTTAAATGTTATGGTTGAAAATAACTGTGTAAGTTGATAATGCACTAGGGACCAGTGTACTATGCATACATTGTAGTTTCGGATAAGTCAGATTGTATAGTTTGTAACATCTGTTGAGACTGATAGTTAAACTGTCGACATGTTATGCAGGGAATTCAACTGCAGGATTCGTACTTTGATTGCGATCATGTATATACTAATATCTGTAAATGAGAATGATATTAAAATTATAATATATATATTCGTTTAGTACAAACGACATCGGGGGAAAATTAACATACAACTTCAACTACTTTCGGACAAAAGCCTATTTAAACGGGTCGTGTTACAATGGGGTTAGAAGATGTGGCCCGATTATGACCAACTCTACCACAGGGAGTGTGTTACCTCAGTCGTCTAGTGGACTCATGTCTGGATCGATGAGGTCGTGTGGGTGCTCTACCTAGAGGACGACGTACATTGGGTGGCAGAATATGTGTATCTCTAATTTCATTCGGGACAATCCAGTCCACTTCACACGTAACAGGATAGATTCTTCGCTGTAGGCACCCCTCCGGTATTTAGATGTGTAATACGATGAGCATAAATTGTACAATGACTTACCTCACAAGCAGGCAACATGATTTGTATGAATGCATGACATACGATTAAGTTGAAATTCACAACAAGTGCACGTGTTATCGGAAAAGTTCACGATGTCCGTGTCATTGGATATTCCAACCTGCATTAAGTTGTTTGTCAAACCATGAGTTCGAAGCCTTGTACCTGCTTCGTACGTTGTCCGTAACTCATTCTCCATCCTCGATGACAGCACGGCAGTACATGTGGTTGCATTGGTTCGACGTTTATAAAACTATTTCTGCATAGTCTGTCGAATATGCTCGACCAAGCACGTGATCATCAAAGAACGGGCGTGTCTCAACATTGAGTTCAAAGATTCTGCACTATTGTTTGTCAAAATGTTGTACTGTTGGCCAACGAATAGTGCTCATGACCAAAATGAGAAACCTGCTCGCTCCAAGTACCCGTAAGCTCTTTCACTTACCCTGCGGATCTATCTCATAAGTCTTTCGAACTCTTCGAGCCGATAAATTCTTGCAATTCGTTTGAATAGGAATATTACACTTGCATTGTTGTACCGCTGGATTAAGTTCTTTTCTAGATGCCAGATACAATACCCATGGTGAGACAGAGGAAATAGGTGAGCAATGGCATTAGAAATACTTTTTCCCGGTCGAAAACAAAAACCAATTCATCTGAGTCTTCCATTAGCTCTTTCAAGTTCGACAGAAACCACGTCCACGATCTATTTGTTTCGACATCGACGATCTCCCATGCTAAGGGATAAATCTGTTTGTTGGCATCTTGGTCGGTTGCCAGTAGAAGTGTACCTTTGTATGGACCTTTCAAGTGACTACTGTCAACATAAATAACGGGCCTCAAATAGTGCATGTTACCACGAATACTTGCACCGAAAGTTCGGAAAAAGTAATAAAACATGTTACAGGCATCAACTTCGATGTAATTTACTGTCCTCGGGTTACTCTCTCCTAGGACGTGACAATATGACAATAGTTTTTGAAAATTGTACCCCGGTATACAATATAACATATGTAAAGCAACCACCTTCCCCCTATGTGCTTTTTGATAACTTATTTTTACACCAAACTCGCATTCCATGTGACGTGCAATAGCGGTAGGATCATACGATCGATACAGATTATCCAATTTTTCCAAAATATGCTCGACAATTACAGAAGTAGTGGCATGCCGATGTGCATTACGACGAAAATCTATGGAACATGTATGCACAATATTGAATGCACAGACCATGAATATTGCAGACTACTTCACACTCGAAGCACGTAACATCCACTTGCTATTAATATTTTGAAACTTGACCTGCTGACCTTAAATTGGAAGTTGTCATGCAAAGCAAGTACACGAATTTTCGAGTACAGTTCTTTCTTGCTGAAGAATATTTGCCGTTCAACAAGATTTGATGTATTCATACTTGTAATCCATTGGTATGTATCCGAACTCCTAGAATGTGATGACGTTCCCTTGTCAACGTCTGCAATATTATTAGCATCTGTACCATGTAACGGGTCCTCCAACATCTCATCTAATGGTGCAGCCCCAACATCAAATATTGGAGTATCGGCTGCATTATTGTTTGGGACACTAGGCTCAAGATGGATGTTATCGTGTTGTACGTTCTAGTAGACATTCGCTGCTCCAAACGAACGATCATGCAAATTTGTATCCCTCCCCATATCAACACTTGGCATATCAGTTTCCAAAATATTAACGTAGAGAGCAGTTTCCTTATGAACAAATATGCATCAAATTAGGTCTTCATCTTCACAAATTTCGGCCGGCAGTATATGCATGTTCGGGACTTTGAATTTCAATTCAATTTCAATCTGTGGATTCCGTACACCAAGTTTGTCATTCAACCGTAACAGAAATCCGGCTAGGGCTATACTTCTCAGCACTAAAATGGAAGTGATTTTGTCCCATGTCCACTTCCATTCGTCATCAACGTGAATAAACTTTTCCCCGTACGACACGATAAATCTCAAATGATTGTCCATGCTGAAATATTGGGATTACACCGATAAGAATTCTGGACAATCAATATGTCCATATGTAATAGCATGAAAATGTCACTTTCGAATATTTAAACTCATACAATAGCATAAGGTGAAATTCAGGATGTCAATAGTTTTCAGCTATCAATTTCGACAGTTTAAATGTCTAACATGACAGTTTTCAAATGTCGAGTTTGACAGTTCAACTGTCAAAACTGTCGAGAAGTTTCAGACGTGTTTGATACCTTGTTGGAAACATTAATGGTTATATTCAATTATTAACTACAACAATTATATCATTGATTCTAGTTTCAAAAAATAAATGACTGAATGCTTCATTAAATATGAAATGTATTACTTAACATTTGCTTAAATCTTTTTGAGATTTCTTTTTGGTATCTCTTCCCTTCAAAAATATTTCAAAAATCAATAACATCATGATTAATAAGAGTTTCAAAAGCATTCTTCACTTTGATGATCATATTGTTTTTAACATTTAAAAAGGAGAAAGTTATTCGATAAAAATATAAATAATTCGTAATAACTAACCTTTCAAAATGGATGATGAATCAAATAGTAATGCCTTCTTGATCAAGGAATGAAGAAGATGGATGAAATAAGGGTTTGTTGAAGAAGATATTTCTTTGATGTTAAAATAGGATTTTTTTTTTTTTTTTTTTTTTTTTTTATCTTTTCTTTTTAAGTAAATTCATGTTATACAATAAAATATACATATATCCAATTATTATAATGTATAAATTTAATATATCCATGATATAGTAAATATAAATATTTAACTAATCAAATCATAATATTAATTGGATTGGAAAGCTAACATTAAATGCTCCTAAAAATGAGACATGATGAGTAAGTTGGACATTTCCCACAAAAAAGTGACATTTTTTATCAAATTAGGTGGACGTGCAAATTTTTTTTTTGCATTTTCAAAAAAAAGTGACATTTTTTATAATTCCCCATTATGTAATATGAATACTATCATTTGTATTTCAAATTCTCAATTCACTGACATAATCTCTTCACAAATTAGTACGAAAATGGTGGTGGAAAGAAATGAGCAACTCGATCTATTACCAGCTTGCACTCCAAATCACTCCCTAAAAATGTACTTGGAAGTGACGCATATGAAGTTATGAGCTAAAACGACAATGGTAAAAAAGAATGGTGATTTTTCATACGTGGAATGAAATTATGTTACTGTTTGATAGAAATTAGAATCAAAATTTTAATTTTTAAGTCAAAATTAATAATTAAATCATATTGTTAAGAGGATCCACAATTTTTCCGTCCATGACATTTGTTATTGTTAAATAGTGACAGTCCTACCATTGTGCCCGGTCCATTGAGGTCCACTCGCACTCTTTTAGCTTGTTAAGAAAGGATAATTTTCATTAAGCCGTAATTGCACTTTCACTCTTTCAATTGGCTAATAATATTTTAATTTTATTTAACCTGATAGCTATACTTCAATATAATTTTAGTCAGGTTATTATATTTAATTTGATTTCAATTAAAGCAGTTTTATCCAATTACACTAATGATAATCAATAACATGAGAGCATATACCCATTAGTTGTTGACTTGAAACATGTACAATTTCATTAAAATAAATTATAAGCATTATTTATTGACAGTTGCGTCATCGATTTTCGTTAGTTCAAGAGACACATTTACCTAGTTGAAATCAAATTAAGCCATTGTCTGGAGCTGCTGCTTCAACAAATTTTAACTAAAAATGGAGCCGTTATTTTTTACCCCGTGAGCGGTCGAAAGTTTCCGCAACCAACAATTAGAAAATCAAAAATTTTTCCCCCAAAAATTGGCTCCAGACAAGTCCTGAATTGTAATTACCTGTTTGCTAATCACTAATTCATCATGTTTCCTCATTTTTATGCATTTCCTCATGCAAGGTGTTGATGAAGGTAAATGCTCAACATTTCTTCATATTTTGGTCGGATTTTTTTCTTTTTTCAAAGTTAGATCCCTTTCAAATGTGTTATCCAGAGTACCAAATTAAGTAGAAGGACCAAAAATGCACATTTTAAAGTTTAAAAACCCTTTTCACGCAGGGAATAAAGTTTAGTGACCAACCATGTTTTTACCAATCACTTCTGTGGCACTATTGGCCAAAAAGGAAATTAAGAAGAAACTTACATTTAAGATGTTTGTTATTGACATATTCAATTTGGTTTTAACTTTTAACATACTGAACATAGAAATTATTAAGTAAATATAATTGAGATAGAAATTAAAAAAACAATAATTAAAATTTGGTTTCTTAAAAATTTTTATTCATCATTACTAGCACAGTCTTAGAATATGGTTATTCAATACAGTGTATCAAACATGCCCTAACAGTATTAACTTTCCGTTTGGACATCATGTTTACAGTTTACATCAGTTTTCTTTCCTGAAACATCGCGTTATAAGATGTTAGTAGTGATTTTTGTGAATGAACTGAGTATTATCCTCCCTAACAATTAATAAACTGGTAAAAGACTTGTGTGGTTCCTAGACTTCACACTATGTGCGAAAAATGGTGGTGGAAAGGACGTGCAACTTGAATGATGCTAGTATTCTTGTGGAATATATGTCTAATTCTTGATAAAAAAATTTGTGAAAGTTAGTTCTCGATGTTGATATGTGGAATCTTTTATTTTATAATCTGTTAATTCATGGAGAAACTTAGCACACTTTTATATAGAATGATTATTTGTATCTCGAGAAGATATGAAGAACATGTCCAATATGACGTTGAAAAAGAGATAAAATTGGCAACTGGATTAAATGGGCAAGAACTCACAACCAGCAATTTGATGGTTATGACGAGACATATTTCGAGACGACGCATCTTTATATTTTACACTTAAGAGTAATGTTGTTTGCATAGCATTTATATGTTGTAAATTTTTATAACCCTCTCACAAAGGTGGGGTCCGCAATTAAAATAATCGCGAACCTCACCCTCTATAGGTGAGAGGGCTGTCAAAATCGTTGTACACGCAGAAGCCCTCTTTACACTTATGTACAAATCATATCTAGTTTAGTCCTCTCTATTTTTGTTTTTCAAGGTTGCTTTCTCGTAAAAACATGTTTGACGCATTTATTCACAAAAGGAAAAAAATAAATTATCCTAAAAAATGGACATTTAAAATATATGGAGACAGGAACATATATATATTAAGAAAGTTAATATACCTAAAAAATAAAAAGAAAATTATGAACTGGCATGAGAAGCTAGAATGTGTGACAAATCTTTCTTCAGCAATTAATTTAAATTAATTAAGCTGGCAGTTAAATAGTCGATTTAGTTTTTATTTTTTAACTATTATTTTAATTAATTGCATGCAAAAGCTTCTTTCTCGTTGAAAAGAATCCTAGCAATGAAAATTTCAATCATTTATCAAAACAATGGTCCTTTAATTTTAAAATAAATGCAGGACTAGCACTAGATACCATAAGTGTATATATATATATAATACTGTAGTTTCATAACTAACTAATTAAAAATGAACGTTAAAAGAGATAATCCCAACTTAAAACGTTTAACCCTAATGAAAATTTTTTCCGATAATTATCGTGGCCAAGTATCAAAACGTACTATGTCCATTATTGCTAGTATCAAAACGTACTGATAATAAAGATATTGATCACAATGTTTCGCATCTAATAAGATTGGATAATGTCATTCTACTTTATAAACAGTTCCATTTCTAAGTGAAAGTAGTCGCCTTGAGCAATAAATTAGAGGACTTACTAACACTTAAACTGGTCATCAATACTAAGGATAAATAGCATTACTCAATAAGATTAATAGTTTTTTAAGTTATTCTTTATAAATTCAATAAATGGTGATGAGTCTGTGATTAAGGCTATTCGACTCTGATTTTCAATCGAAAAACTTGAGGCAGGCTATAAAAAACAAGGGAAGATTATGATTCTACTAACACAAATCCAAGAGCAATTCTGCAGTTACAGAATTGCATTTCACAAAACCCTATCAGATAAGACACAGTAGGGGTTGAGTGATTTTTTGGCATTTTTTTAATCACAACATGGGACCCGCACAATGTGAGATTTCTGATGCAATTCTATATAACAGTTTTCTATACAAATGGAATAAGTGCAAATCCAATTTAAATGTTAGGTACCGATCATTATCAAACCTTCAAAACTCATCTAGAGATTCATCCAAACAAGGTTCTATTATTCATGTCGTCAAATGGTAGTTTGCACTTAGATTTATTAACTTGTTTCTTATGCCTTCTTATGCCTAATAATCTAATATTCATTAATTAAACGTGGGTTAGTGATTTTTTAGCATATTATTGGGCCACTTAGCTAGTGCTCACTAAATAAAATCTTTGATTGTGCAAAATTGGTAGCCTTGCTATTTAACTATGAGTGGGAAAAATCTAACATTGATTACAAGTGCAATCTTCATGAAGATGAGACGTGGATGGGTTTAATTGCTCAAATCAAATGACTTCATTATGAATGTTGTCATTTTTTATTTTTTATTTTATCTTTATTTATTAGTATTTGTCTTATATCTAAATGTCATATTCAATGGAGTATAGGGACATAGGTATATTATTAGATTTTCTTGATCCAAACTCGTATTCGTTAGAATTAACAATTTTTTCAAGCAAAATCAATTATTTACTATTATTTTCGAGTCAATGAATTCTTGATTTCTTAATTAAGTTCATGAATATTCTTGAAAATACTTGTTTTCTTCTCATTCTTGCCATATTTAATTTTGATTTTTTCTTTCTTTCTTAATGGTGTCTAGTTCTATAGCATTTTGAAGAATATTAGAGAATCAACGCCACCTTTAGCCAATTTTTAACTCGATTGATAATCACTTAGTAAACTTTATTATTGGATTTAGTTTTCTAATATACGTAATATAAATAGTCATTTGTATTTCAAATTCTCAATTCACGGACGTAATCTCCTTCACAAATTAGTAGAAAAATGGTGGTGGAAAGATACGAGCAACTCGATCTATTACCGACTTGCACTCCAAATCACTCCCTAAGAATGTACTTGGAAGTGACCGTATATGAAGTTGAGCTAAAACAACAATGGTCAAAAAGAATGGCGATTTTTCATACGTGAACTGAAATTATGTTACTATTTGATAGAAATTAGAATATAGATTTGAATTTAAGTCAAAATCAATATTTAAATCACAGGATTCACAATTTTTCCATCCATGACATTTGTCAAGTTCTAGTGACAGTGTTACCATTGCACCCGGTCCATTGAGTCCCACTTGCACTCTTTTAGCTTGTTAAGAAAGGATAATTTTCATTAAGCCGTAACTGCACTTTCACTCTTTCAATTAGCTAATTATATTTTAATTTTATTTAATCTGATAGCTATACTTCAGTTTGAATAAACAAATAAACTCTAGGATAGGATACTCATAAGGCCCAAAAAATTGGAAAATTGGAAAATTGAAGGCAAAATGCTAATAAACCACCATTTTTTTATTTTTTATTTTTTTGTTTTTTACTATTTTATCACAGCAATATAAACATAAAAAACCAATCCCAAACAAAGCAAAGTTGTAGTCCAAGGCCACCTACAATGGCCTTCACCAGTCCTCAGGAAAAATCATAAGTAAATGGAGGTGCGCGGTGCATACAGTTCACACTTTCAGGTCACTCGCTGTCCGAATGGGGCTTCCGAGCCAAGAAGAAATACATTGCGGTGAAAATTTCTTTCCTGAAACATCGCGTTATAAGATGTTAGTAGTGATTTTTGTGAATGAACCGAGTACGATCCTCTCTAACAATTAATAAACTGGTAAAAAACTTGTGTGGTTCCTAGACTTCACATTATGTGCAAAAAAGTGACTTAAGTCATGAACCCCATTAGTCCCAATAACGAATTCCGTCTAAAATTACGAACACATTACACCTAAGACACCAACAAGGATAAATCACACCATTTTTTAGATGGAAAATAAGCTCTTAATGCCCTTGAAGTGTAAAAGCACTTCAAAAAATGATGTAATTTATCTTTGTTAGCATATTATATGTCAAAGTAATGTAATATGGGATGCTACATCATCAATCTGTTAAGTGGATATAGTAATAGTTTGGGACCATTCAGGTTTTTAACCATTAATAAACTTGGGAGAGTGACAACTTATCGGATTTCGAGAGATTATTAACTTATTCTAATCGAACCAATTGCGACTCAGACAAATATAGGCAGATGGATGCAAACCAACTATGCAATTTCTAATTTCTATCATGTTGAACGCGATACAAAGTTTGAATGCATTACTTCTATATTTCAGATAAGAGGCTCAGAACAATATAAATTAAATCAAATACAGGCACGGAATAATCTTACTGTCCACCAGCAACAAGTCCTTCTGCTGCTTTCTCCAAGAAAGCTTGAACCCGTTGACTTCCCTGAGGAGCAAGTCCCACCTTTTCAAGACCCATGACCTGCAATGGTAGATGACGAACTCAAGTAACTTTTGGTTTAACACAGAACAAAAAATACACGGGAAAATTCAACTAATTGATACAAATTCCAGTTAATATGGCAAAGAAAATAGAATGAGGAAATCAAATAGTAAATGTACAGAGTTTACCATGTTTTTGGTGATAAACCGTCCGATTGCTGTCAAACGGAAACTGCTGAGCGAGAAGTGACTTTTATCCAGAGGCAAGTACCATGGGAGGGGCGAGTCCACTGCAAGATCCTTCTCCCACACAACCTTCAAAAGCCAGAAAAAAGAAAAAAGATTCCCTTTATTAGTCCCTTGTTTTAAATATATTTCATGCAACCTAGCCAACCAGCAGCATAGCCAAGATTGTACCACTCACTTCAAAACCTGCTTTTTTAACCGCTTCAAGGCATTGATGTGTCAGCCTTATATCAGGAAGGCCATTACCTAATTCAATTTCGGCCTGCATCCATTAAAATTATTCAAGTTAAAGCATGATGTAGAAACTCAAAAGCATGCTTTGTGATATGAGTATATGACAAGCACCTTGATCTTTTTGTGCTCTTGGTTATTGGGGTCGAAGACATCAGTCATGCACCACTCATACGCAGCAAAACACTGACCAGGTTTCAGTACCCTATAAATCTCCTTGTAGCACCCAACCTATACACAAGTAGGTCAAGTTAACAGCAGCTCGAGTGAAACTCCCCATAAAAAACCAGAAAAGATAATTATTTATGTAAATGATAACAGATTAGAATTTATAAATTTACACACAGCATCTGGAGCATGGCAGGTTGCTTCAATTGCATATATGGCATCAAAACTATTGTCAGGGAATGGCATCTTCATGAAATCAGCCTGCATTGACACTAAGAAATGATAAAAAGTCTAGAAAGATAAAAATCAGAGACAAATATAAGCTTGATCTCCAATTTCACTCACTTTCACGAAGTCACAAGTCTTGTCTACTCCTGCAACACGGTTTAGGGCCTGCAACAGTCAAAGATCACTAATCAATATCAATTTGAACAGAACAGAATTGGTGTAGTATTTGATAGCAGGGATTTGAACTAGGAAACAATGATACGGATTATTTTTATTTTTTTCATTTTTCATTTTTTACTATTTATGTTGTAAAGTAATATTGGTATTGTTACTTGCAACATGATGACGATGCATCGACAACATATCTACAATGTATCTTCTGGTGTGTCAGTGACTGGCCTAACTCTACAAAATCAAAAAATAATTGGACATGGCACAGCGTTTCCACTACTTGTAGGTGATGTGTAGGCGTCATTGTCAATGTTCAACACGTGTTAGACTCCGACTCGACAGCTCAGGGAGGATGCTGGTTCATACTAGGATTTGAAGTCTCAAAATTTGAATTAAATATAATTTCCATTCAAATGTGAACGGACTTTTCGCTAATTTCAATTCTAGGACTTCTATTCCAACCAGTGTTTAGATAGGAGATAGATTTTTAGCAAGTAAAGGTACATACATTAAAAGGCATAGCAGATCAAAATCTCAATACATACCTTTCCTCTTGTTATCTGATACTCATTGTTGTTGAGGCCTGTAACTGATGTAGAACTGCAAGACATCAAAGCAAAAGTAAGAATCTAACTGGCAGGTCTTGGAAGTAATTAAATAATGGTGGAGTAAATCTAACAACTACTTGGATGATTGAAAAATTGTATCCGATGCTGATAACAAAAATCATCCTGCCAAGAAGTTTTGTCTTCAAGCAGTCTTCATTATAAGTGAAAATGAACAATGTCTCAACAATTGACAAACCTTGTGTAGTCAACAATCAACTATAGCTTCTCAATTTGTTCTCTAGTTTTGTTAGTTTATATTTATATACATGATATATTGTCCATTACATGCATAAACTTAAGCATCTTCATGTTTCATCACTGAATGCAACGTAGCATCCTATCAAGCACTGGAATAATCAAAATATCAATAAAAAACAGTATGTTATAATAATAGTATATGTATATCAAGATGAATACTGATTTAGCAAGACAAACAAACAACAATACAATGAGCTAAATTGTCATCTCACCTGAATCTAGCAATTTCTCTTAACGGTCCACCAATTCCACATCCTACGTCCAAGACCTACAGAGACAGCAGAAAATTAAAACATTGATTATCAAAGAAGTGAAAGTCTAGGATAGTTGCAAACAAAAATCTTCAAAATGACACCTTCTGTCCCGGTTTCAGGCCAAGCTGCAAGGCAAGGAAGTGCTCATGCCTTTTAATGCTCTCTTTTAGAGACTCTCCTTTCCATCTGCAACATATGACAATAATCTCGTTTAGTGATTCTAGAAGACACAACTGCAATGCGTCTAGAACTCTCTCTGCTATATAGCATGGAAAAGAATAACACGAATGCAGAGTAATGGTTTAGGTAATGAGAAAACCTATAGGAGTAAAATATTCACCTGGGCGCAAAGTGGAATGATTCTCCCCAGCCATATTCGTAGAAACTTGTGACAAGATCATAGTACTTATTTACCTGAGAATGTGAAGTATTCTTAGTCGAAGATATTTATAGTTAAATCAAAGTAATCTCATATCCAAAATACCTGAACATAGTCGAGCATATTTTGCACACTAGCACATAATCACTTAAACACATCAAACAATTCTAAAAGTTCTAAATACCTTAATTTTGAGAAAAAAGAAGCTATGATTATACAAAAGAGAAAAAACTACAAGAGAAATCAATGTGAAAATTGGGTAAGTGAATCCTCTCACCATATCGGTGTAGTTCGATTTTCTCTCTTCCTCTTCACCTCCATAACAAACATGATATTTTTCATACCTGTTACATAGGAGCAAAAGGAAGACCATATATTCAAATAGGGGCGTCAAATAAAAAGAAAAAGCTGTCAAATTGAGCCTTCAGAAAAGATAATTAAGAAATCTAGGAAAAGAAACCAAATAACTTCAAATTAGAATGTTGCAAGTGCAAGAAGTACAAGGTCGATGTGTATTTCTGTATATAGCTTCTTCTTTTTTCCTTTTTTTTTTTCCTAAGTAAGAATATCATAACATCATTGAAGAATTGCAAAAGAGCTGAAATTTTGATTTTTGTTGAAGGAAAAATTAAATTTTCGGAATTATTCTGAAATAAACTACTTAGTAAAATTAAATTTGAACACATTACTTCTATATTTCGGATAAGAGGCTCAGAACAATATAAATTAAATCAACTACAGGCACAGAATAATCTTACTGTCCACCAGCAACAAGTCCTTCTGCTGCTTTCTCCAAGAAAGCTTGAACCCGTTGACTTCCCTGTGGAGCAAGTCCCACCTTTTCAAGACCCATGACCTGCAATGGTAGATGACGAACTCAAGTAACTTTTGGTTTAACACAGAACAAAAAATACACGGGAAAATTCAACTAATTGATACAAATTCCAGTTAATATGGCAAAGAAAATGGAATGAGAAAATCAAGTAGATGTACAGATTTTACCATGTTTTTGGTGATAAACCGTCCGATTGCTGTCAAACGGAAACTGCTGAGCGAGAAGTGACTTTTATCCAGAGGCAAGTACCATGGGAGGGGCGAGTCCACTGCAAGATCCTTCTCCCACACAACCTTCAAAAGCCAGAAAAAAGAAAAAAGATTCCCTTTATTAGTCCCTTGTTTTAAATATATTTCATGCAACCTAGCCAACCAGCAGCATAGCCAAGATTGTACCACTCACTTCAAAACCTGCTTTTTTAACAGCTTCAAGGCATTGATGTGTCAGCCTTATATCAGGAAGGCCATTACCTAATTCAATTTCGGCCTGCATCCATAAAAATTATTCAAGTTAAAGCATGATGTAGAAACTCAAAAGCATGCTTTGTGATATGAGTATATGACAAGCACCTTGATCTTTTTGTGCTCTTGGTTATTGGGGTCGAAGACATCAGTCATGCACCACTCATACGCAGCAAAACACTGACCAGGTTTCAGTACCCTATAAATCTCCTTGTAGCACCCAACCTATACACAAGTAGGTCAAGTTAACAGCAGCTCGAGTGAAACTCCCCATAAAAAACCAGAAAAGATAATTATTTATGTAAATGATAACAGATTAGAATTTATAAATTTACACACAGCATCTGGAGCATGGCAGGTTGCTTCAATTGCATATATGGCATCAAAACTATTGTCAGGGAATGGCATCTTCATGAAATCAGCCTGCATTGACACTAAGAAATGATAAAAAGTCTAGAAAGATAAAAATCAGAGACAAATATAAGCTTGATCTCCAATTTCACTCACTTTCACGAAGTCACAAGTCTTGTCTACTCCTGCAACACGGTTTAGGGCCTGCAACAGTCAAAGATCACTAATCAATATCAATTTGAACAGAACAGAATTGGTGTAGTATTTGATAGCAGGGATTTGAACTAGGAAACAATGATACGGATTATTTTTATTTTTTTCATTTTTCATTTTTTACTATTTATGTTGTAAAGTAATATTGGTATTGTTACTTGCAACATGATGACGATGCATCGACAACATATCTACAATGTATCTTCTGGTGTGTCAGTGACTGGCCTAACTCTACAAAATCAAAAAATAATTGGACATGGCACAGCGTTTCCACTACTTGTAGGTGATGTGTAGGCGTCATTGTCAATGTTCAACACGTGTTAGACTCCGACTCGACAGCTCAGGGAGGATGCTGGTTCATACTAGGATTTGAAGTCTCAAAATTTGAATTAAATATAATTTCCATTCAAATGTGAACGGACTTTTCGCTAATTTCAATTCTAGGACTTCTATTCCAACCAGTGTTTAGATAGGAGATAGATTTTTAGCAAGTAAAGGTACATACATTAAAAGGCATAGCAGATCAAAATCTCAATACATACCTTTCCTCTTGTTATCTGATACTCATTGTTGTTGAGGCCTGTAACTGATGTAGAACTGCAAGACATCAAAGCAAAAGTAAGAATCTAACTGGCAGGTCTTGGAAGTAATTAAATAATGGTGGAGTAAATCTAACAACTACTTGGATGATTGAAAAATTGTATCCGATGCTGATAATAAAAATCATCCTGCCAAGAAGTTTCTTCTTCAAGCAGTCTTCATTATAAGTGAAAATGAACAATGTCTCAACAATTGACAAACCTTGTGTAGTCAACAATCAACTATAGCTTCTCAATTTATTCTCTAGTTTTGTTAGTTTATATTTATATACATGATATATTGTCCATTACATGCATAAACTTAAGCATCTTCATGTTTCATCATTGAATGCAAGGTAGCATCCTATCAAGCACTGGAATAATCAAAATATCAATAAAAAACAGTATGTTATAATAATAGTATATGTATATCAAGATGAATACTGATTTAGCAAGACAAACAAACAACAATACAATGAGCTAAATTGTCATCTCACCTGAATCTAGCAATTTCTCTTAACGGTCCACCAATTCCACATCCTACGTCCAAGACCTACAGAGACAGCAGAAAATTAAAACATTGATTATCAAAGAAGTGAAAGTCTAGGATAGTTGCAAACAAAAATCTTCAAAATGACACCTTCTGTCCCGGTTTCAGGCCAAGCTGCAAGGCAAGGAAGTGCTCATGCCTTTTAATGCTCTCTTTTAGAGACTCTCCTTTCCATCTGCAACATATTACAATAATCTCGTTTAGTGATTCTAGAAGACACAACTGCAATGCGTCTAGAACTCTCTCTGCTATATAGCATGGAAAAGAATAACACGAATGCAGAATAACGGTTTAGGTAATGAGAAAACCTATAGGAGTAAAATATTCACCTGGGCGCAAAGTGGAATGATTCTCCCCAGCCATATTCATAGAAACTTGTGACAAGATCATAGTACTTATTTACCTGAGAATGTGAAGTATTCTTAGTCTAAGATATTTATAGTTAAATCAAAGTAATCTCATATCCAAAATACTTGAACATAGTCGAGCATATTTTGCACACTAGCACATAATCACTTAAACACATCAAACAATTCTAAAAGTTCTAAATACCTTAATTTTGAGAAAAAAGAAGCTATGATTGTACAAAAGAGAAAAAACTACAAGAGAAATCAATGTGAAAATTGGGTAAGTGAATCCTCTCACCATATCGGTGTAGTTCGATTTTCTCTCTTCCTCTTCACCTCCATAACAAACATGATATTTTTCATACCTGTTACATAGGAGCAAAAGGAAGACCATATATTCAAATAGGGGCGTCAAATAAAAAGAAAAAGATGTGAAATTGAGCCTTCAGAAAAGATAATTAAGAAATCTAGGAAAAGAAACCAAATAACTTCAAATTAGAATGTTGCAAGTGCAAGAAGTACAAGGTCGATGTGTATTTCTGTATATAGCTTCTTCTTTTTTCCTTTGGTTTTTTTTTTTTTTTTTTTTTTTTTTTATTTTTTTTTTGGCTAAGTAAGAATATCATAACATCATTGAAGAATTGCAAAAGAGCTGAAATTTTGATTTTTGTTGAAGGAAAAATTAAATTTTCGGAATTATTCTGAAATAAACTACTTAGTAAAATTAATGAAAAGAAAAAATGAATGTTCTTGCAATATTTCAAAGCGCAAAAGCACAAGCTTAAGAAAGCAAGTGAAAAGTATCAGTTACTGACTAAAGGACAATGACACTCTGCAGCCTTGAGCATAAGTGAAAGGCACTTTCTGCTAATAAAGTATGTATAAGAACATCTACATTCTACATCATTTTAACTTAAATGACAAATTGACAACACCAAGTAATTCAGTACAACGACAGCCACAGAGTAAGAATATAGGATCGTATTTTTAAGTCAAATCCAGCTGGTAGATGTCACGTCCAAAATTAAATTGAATAGACTAAGAGAAAAAAAAAACAGTTTAAACACTGGTTCGAACTTGAGTAATCCCAATCAGATTTGGTACTAAATTATGCTAACACACCATTGCGAATTTCATTTAAAAAATTATGATTCATCAACATTCCATGACCAGATCTCAGTGAGTCTCTCAAGTTTCAAAAACGGCATTATTCCCCCTTTCACTCACATACAGATACACACACTCACAAAAAAAGCGCGCATATAGAGAGGAAGGGTACTTGTCAACAGCAGAGAGAACATCACTCTTGTCAATTTTTCCACCAAGCCCAGATGCCAGATCCAATGCTCCTGCTTTCGACATCTTTCTCTCTCTCTCAAAAGAATGGCTTACCAGAATTCTTGGAGATCTAAAACAATCCAAAAAGAATGTCGAGATATCCAGAAGTATTATTATAAACCAAACCAAAAATAGATGCATCCAATTTAAAGAAATTCCCGAAAGAAAAAAAAAATTGAAAACCCCAGAATAATCACTCACACTGAAAAGGCGAGATCTGCCCAACTTTGAGAGAGAGAGTTTGGTGAAGAGAAAGAAGTGTAGAGAGCTGAGGCCTTTCTGCTGTTTAAATTCTTATGTTTATCTTGAACGACAAATGCTGACACATTTGAGAAAGATTCATTTTTGCCACGTCACTTGACAGCACGTGATGCCACTTTGGGTGTTTGGTCATTGGATCTCAAACGCACGGCCGGCTGGCCATATGATTGTCTTGGGAGAAAATTAATCAAATACCTCCCTATTGTGAAGAAAAACCGTGGGTCGAGTTTGACTGACAAATAATAGAATTGAGAAAATACAATTAAAAATGAACATAGGTATTTACGTGATTCATCCAATTTAGACTACGTCTACGGACAAGTATAGGAGGATTTCACTATAGTAAGAGAATTACAACACACCCTCTAAATACAAAGAAATAATAACAATTAATCTCTCTTATAATAGGAGAAAACAAGTAGGAAAAAAATTTAGGAGAAAAACAATAAATTTTCTCTCTACTCTTCTCTCTACCTTATAATTTTCTATCTTAATTTTTCCTCTCCATATAGCACACACTTTTCTCTCAAACTCTTGCTTATATTTATAAAGATTTTTAACCTCCATAATTGCTTGGAAGAGTCAAAGTTCTACCACCTTCATTTGCTAGAATTCTCTACACATTTGGCTTGTCAATTAAATGGAGAAAGAAAACTTGAATTTCTTAACCTTCCTTGTATGCATGTATGGAATCTATCTTAACAATTAAGAAATCAACACCTTATCCATTTGGTCAAAAAAATGTGGCTATTATTAGTTGGAAACTCTAATTTTGTCACCACCACCACTTGCATGCATGCATGTATTTTTCTTACTTGTTAAGTAATGTTTTATGGTAAAAAAATGTGATTTTATTTTCAACATTTCTCCCACTTAAAGTCACTTTTGTTGACCACTTCATCCTTCCCATACTTGCCATTTCCATGCTACTTACGTTTCTGCAAGGCCAATGGAAGATCGACACCATATAAATTTGTCAGTTCTGATTGACTTTGTCAACATATCAGCTAGGTTGTCTGCTGTATGGATTTTCTGTATATCCACACTTCTTTCCTCCACCTTTTCTCGAACAAATGATATTGAACTCGAATATGCTTTGTCCTCTGATGAAATGCTGGATTCTTTGCCAAATGCAAAGCGCTCTGACTATCACAAAATAGAGCAATCTTCTCTTGTTTGTATCCGAACTCGTCCATTAACATTTGCAACCAGATTGCCTCTTTGCTAGCTTTTGTAGCTGCCACATATTCTGCCTCCGTCGTGGAAGTAGCCACGATAGATTGCAGTTTTGAAACCCAGCTTACAACTCCTCCAGCAAGAGTAAACACATATCCTGTGGTGGACTTGTTTTTATCAAGATCACCTACATAATCTAAATCAACATAGCCTCTGACAATAAAATATGATCCTCCATAACATAATGTAGCATTTGAGGTACCATTGACATATCTCAGGATCCTTTTTACAGTATTTCAATGCTCTTTACCAAGATTTTCCATGTATCGACTAATCGTTCCCACTGCTTGTGCAATGTCTGGTCTTGTACAGATCATAGCAAACATCAAACTACCCACTGCCGATGCCTACGGCACTCGAGACATCTCCATCCTCTCTGCTTCACTGCTAAGGCTCATACTTGAGGATAACTTGAAATTAATAGGAAGAGGGGTGGAAATTGGCTTACAATCTTGCATATTGAAGCGACGCAAGGTTTTCTTCAAGTAGTTTTTCTGACTAAGCCAAATCTTTCTATTATTTCTATCTCGGTAAATTTGCATCCCTAGAATCTTGTTTGCCGGTCCCAAGTCCTTCATATCAAACTCCCTAGCCAATTGAGCCTTCGGATTTTCAATATGATCTTTGTTAGGGCATGCTACCAACATGTCGTCAACATACAACAGCAAAATAATGAAATCATTATCACCAAATCTCATGTAGTATGCACCCGGATCTGAACAGAGTCTGTTGTATCCAAAGCTCATGATGAAGGAATCAAATCTCTTATACCTACATCTCGGCGCCTGTTTGAGACCGTACAGAGATTTGTTCAACCTGCAACCCAAGTTCTCTTTTTCTTTTTCTTCAAAACCTTCTGGTTGGAGCATATAAATTTCTTCTTCAAGTTCTCCATGAAGAAATGCAGTTTTCACATCTAACTACTCCAAGTGTAAGTCAAATGTAGCACATATCGCCAGGACTACTCGAACTGTTATGAGTCGAACCACAGGAGTAAATATTTCGTTGAAGTCAATGCCTTCTTCCTGAGCATATCCCTTCACCACCAATCTCGCACGATACCGCTCCACTTGATCATTGTCATCTCGTTTGATCTTATATACCCATTTATTCCCAATGACCTTCCTTCCTTCTGGTAGTGGAACAAGATTCCATGTCTAGTTCTTATGAAGAGCTTCAATTTCTTCTTGCATTGCAGCCATCCACTGAGAAACTTCTTGGCTATTTATAGCCTCGTGGAAAGTTGATGGCTCTCCATCTTCTGTCAGTAAGCAGTATGCAACATTGCCCTCCATAATGTAATATGAGTGCCAAGTCGGTTCTCTTCTCTCCCGTGTTGATCGTCGAACATCTGGAGCACTAGATTCAGCTTGTTCTTCGTGCTCTAGTGTTGCTTCAGAAGTATCTATAACTTTTCGTTCGTCTCCAACTTCAACTGTAATAGTCTCTGGTTTTTCTTTTGAAGTGCTATCATTTCCTTTTTCCTGTATTTTGCCTTTCGCAAATATGATATCTTTGCTGATTATAACCTTGTGGGCAGTGGGATCCCACAGGCGGTACCCCTTCACTCCATCAGCATACCCTAAGAAAATACATTTTCTGGATTTTGGATCCAGCTTTGATGTTTCTTAGGTGTTGTACATAACGTACACATGACTTCCAAACACATGTAAGTGAGAATAATCAGCTGGTTTACCAGTCCACATTTCCATAGGCGTCTTCAGACCAATCGCGGTTAATGGCAACCGATTGATCTCATAACAGGCGGTTTTGACTGCTTCTACCCAAAATGACTTGGCTAACCCCGCAGTCCTCAACATTGCCCTTGTTCTTTCTAACAATATTCTGTTCATCCGCTCTGTCACTCCATTTTGTTGTGGAGTGTATGCCACAGTGAACTATCTCTTGATACCTTCTTGTTGACAGAAGTTATCAAATTCATCACCAGTATATTCTCCTCCATTGTTGGTCCTCAGACACTTGATCTTCTTTTCAGATTCAAGCTCCACACGCACTTTGAATATTTTGAAGACTGCAAACACGTCGACCTTCCTTTTGATTGGATACACCCAACATTTCCTGGAGTAATCATCAATAAAAAATACAAAGTATCTTGCACCTCCTAGGTATATAGCCGATGATTGCCAAATATCGGAATGGACCAGCTCCAAGATAGCTTTACTTCTAGCAGTGCAACTGCTGAACTTCAATCTATGCTGCTTACTAGTAACACAATACTCTCAAAAGGGTAATGAAACCTTTTTGAGCCCTGGAAGAAGCTTTTGTTCTGAGAGAATTTTCAAACCACGTTTCGACGTGTGAGCAAGCTTGCGATGCCACATCATCATTAATTCTTCTGCTGAACCTATCGATACGACAGATGCTTCGCCTTCTTGTAGTGTCTCTCCTTTAAACATGTACAAATTTGCAGCTATCTTTTTCGCTTTCATCACCACAAGCGCTCCTTTAACTATTTTCATGATGACATCTTGTATATGGGTCTTGCATCCAATGCTGTCCAATTGTCCTATAAACAATAAATTTTTCTTTAGGCCTTTTACGTGTCGTACCTCCTGGATAGTGCGAACTGTACCATCATACATTTTCAATTTGATGGTATCAATACCAGCGATCTCCAAGGTATGATCATTTCCCATAAACACAGATCCTCCTGGGATAGTCTCATATTGATGAAACCATTCCCTTATTGGTGTCAAGTGCCATGTAGCTCCTGAATCAATAGGCCAGACATCAGAAAATTTCTTTCTGCCTTCAACAACTGTTGTTGCCTCGCTATATAAAATTTCACCATCATCCGAGGTACTTGCTACACAACCCTGAACTTTTGATGTCTTAGGACCTTTTCCTTTAACTTCTTCATTCTTCTTGAGACTCTAACAATCCCTTTTTAAGTACCCTTTCTTGCCACAGTAATGACACTTGGCATTTTTCTTACTCCTGAATTTTGATCTACTCTAATTATGACTCCCACTGGAGCCACGTTCCGTTGATCTCCCTCTCATCATCGTCAAAACTTCTGTCTGATTCGAACATGTCAATCTGCCCTTCTTGTTCTTGCACCTACTTTCCTCTTCAGGAACAGCAGCTGCAACATCATCGAAGACTAAAGTTTCAAGGTTGTTGGTCAAGTTGATGATGAGTTGATCATACGAATCTGGTAGACTTTGAAGTAAGATTTCAGCATGTTCACCGGTCTCTATATTATGCTCCATTGATATGAGTTGTGAAAATAGAGTATTGATGGTGTTGATGCGGTTTGTCACCGTAGTTGACTCCATCATCATAAGGGTGTAAAGCTTTCTCTTTAAGAAGATTTTGTTGTGTAACGATTTGACCTTGTACAGCTTTGTCAGCGTATCCCATATCTCTTTGGCTGTCTTTTTCTCCGCCACACTTAACAATACTCCATTGGCTAGTGCAAGGTGCAGATTAGCAACTGCGTTGCTATCCATCTCGTTCCACTTAGTATCGTCAATGATTTCCACAGGCCTTTGTCCAATTGCCTCCAAACAGTTATCTTTTCTCAAAACTGCTTTTATTCTCATTTTCCATAATGAGAAATTGTTCCCGTTGAACTTTTCAATCTCATATTTTGTCGCCATTTTTCACCAATACTATGATTGAACAACGACCCTACACAAAATCTTGCTTTGATACCACTGTCGGGAAGAAAACGCGTGGGTCGAGTTTGGCTGACAAATAATGGAATTGAGAAAACACAGCTAAAAATGGACACGGGTATTTACGTGGTTTACCCAATTTAAGCTACGTCCACGAGCAAGTATAGGAGGATTTCACTGTAGGAGGAGAATTACAACATACTCTCTAAATACAAGGAAATAACAACAATTAATCTCTCTTGTAATACGAGAAAACAAGTAGAAAAAAAACTTAGGAGAAAAACAATAAATTTTCTCTCTACTCTTCTCTCTACCTTACAATTTTCTATCTTAATTTTTCCTCTCCATATGGCACACACTTTTCTCTCAAACTCTTGCCTATATTTATAGAGATTTTTAACCTCCATAATTGCTTGGAAGAGTCAAAGTTCTACCACCTTCATTTGCTAGAATTCTCTACACATTTGACTTGTCAAGTAAATGGAGAAAGAAAACTTGAATTTCTCAACCACCCTTGTATGCATGCATGGAATCTTTCTTAACAATTAAGAAATCAACACCTTATCCATTTGGTCAAAAAAATGTGGCTATCATTAGTTGGAAACTCCAATTTTGCCACCACCACCATTTGCATGCATGCATGTATTTTTCTTACTTGTTAAATAATATTTTATGGTAAAAAAATGTGACTTTATTTTCAACACTCCCAACCTTTTAGAGACTGTTGACGGGCCTTGCTTGTTTAGATTTTTTCTAGAAAAAAAGATACTTGCACAGTATTTAAATTACAGCCCTGTTTGAGACTCACGATTTTTAACAGTGGATCTCACTGTTTGAAAGTGATTTTGAAAATTGATTTTTTGATCGTTAGGAGAAAAATGGGATCCACCTGTGAGAGAAGAAATCAAGTATGATGGTTGGAATAGTGAAATAACGGTTAAAAAATCAATTTTTTGGATGAAAAAATCACTCCCAAACAAACCCATAAGAAGACTGTACAAGGTGATGTATAATTAAAAAAAAAGTTGAACCCCAACCTTGAGGGCCCTCACCGCCCCACCCCTAGAGCTTTGTGAGAGAGGTAAATCGCTGAATGTGCCCTAATAGGTCAGGGAACAAGAACTGAATGTACAATGCACCTACAAGGAGTCTAATTTCATGTTTCAAAAATCGAACCCTCACACTGCGACCACCAACAAGGTGTGAGATAACATCACTCATGTTCTTTACACCACTGAGCTAAGTCCCAGGAGGCTAAGGTGATGTATAATTTATTGTACACGTAGCACTTTTAATATTTTAATTCTCCTTTGAAAAAAAAAATCAGATCTTAAACTTATTTTTTCATAAATTGGGTGTTAATTAATATTTTAATAGATTTATATTAACAAAAATCAAATAAAGATAATTTCAATTTCCCCAATTAATTTCACCCATCTCTACTGTTATTCTCTGTAACAGTTTCTCTCTCTTCAAAACTTACCAACAATAGTAATCATGAAGATGAAGGCTGGCCATCACCACCACCAGCCACCACTTCCCACCACCTACCGCCGATGGAATCGGCTCACAAACACAACTTCACCTTCGATTGGTCTCGCAACACCATGTGGTGCAATATTTCAAGACCTTTCTAGGGATATCCGATATATCTTCGGGTCTGGCTTCTCTCCCACTCATATCCTTGAATCCAAGAAATTGTGAAGATTATCAAGCTAAGGAAATCTTCAATTTGGGCCAAATATACAGATCAAGCCTAATTGCATATTTACCTGTTGTAAACCTGATGCTGGGAGGATTACATCCTGATAAAACTCTGCGTTGCTTACAACTCCAACTACTACTGCGAGTATAGATTTTAAATTTTGATGGGAATTTGAAAAAGGGTGAATCATTTGGAAAGATGCTTGGAGGCAATTTGACATTGGGCAAGTTAACAAAACATCTATGCTTTTCATTGTATCAGAGGAATTACAGTTGGTTCATGGAAGGAATTCCTTAATTTGGTTTTTCTTGTGAATTGAAAATTCACTGCTATAGTCCTTTTAACTTTGCCGAACCAAGTAACCTAACTACTTTTTTAAGTTTTTTAAGTGACATAGGTTTTTTTTTTTTTTTGGGTGCAACCATGACCAATTATATTATGACTAATCAATGAATAAATTGTGATTAATAAAAAATATGTGATATATAATTTGTGTTTCAATAATCGATAAATACGTTGTAGCCAATTAATTTGATAATTTGTGACTATAAAATTTGTAATTTGTGATCAAGAAATTATGACTGATCGATTAATCTGATAATTTGTGATCAATAAATAAGTTTTGATCAATTAATTTGATAATTTATGACCGTGAAATGAGTCATGGCCATAAAATTTGTGATTTCTGATGAGAAATAATGACTAATCAATTAATTTGATAATTTGTGATCAATAAATAAGTTGTGATCTACAAAATTTGTTATTTGTGATTGTGACATTCTATTATTGTTACAAGTCTATAATTGTAACTACAAATTGTATGATATAACATTGATTTTGTAGAAAGGTGTAGGGCTGAGCAAAACTTCCAAATCGAACCTACCAGAGCGACTCTCTTTAAGTTTAATACTCGAACGGGTATCTGAATCGAGAATCAACGGGTTCGATTTGATTCTCGGGAATCAAATAAGTAATATATCTTTCTATATTTTTTTAAATAAATTTTCTTATTAATTAAATTAGTCCAAACCTAAATATGATTTTTCTATTTCTAATTTTCAACCCAAACATAAGCTCAATCGATCAAATTGACATTTTACTTATATCTCTCATTCAACCATAGTATCATTTCTTTCATTCTAGATAAATCGAATTGGAGCCTTAGCTGTACCTCTTTTCATTATTGTTATTATGGAGAAATCAAAGGGGAAGCTCAGCTACATCTCTTTTTTGGTGATTGTAACAATCAAATATATGAAGGACACAACAAAGAGAGGCACAAAAAAATCACGAAATTAGACTACTTTATGTTATAAGAGCTAACATTGAACATATCATTAGTTGAATTAATGTAACCTTATTATAAAAATTTTAATTATTGTATGAAACTTGAGAATCGAACTGAACAAAACCAAACCTGTTCAATTCCGTAATCAAATTTAGACCTAATGATACCACTTACTAAATATCCGAAAGTTCGAGTTCGATTTGATTCTAAAGAGAATCAGACCATGCCCAATCCTAGAAAGGTGTGAAAGAGATAAAGAGTCATACGATGATAAAGTAGCGAGAACCTCCACTCAATTCATCACCTTCACATCCTGAGTGAATCGATGCTACAGCAATGAGATAATTTTCAAACTAACATAACCACATGGAATTTATCACTTATTTCTCTAACATGATGCAGAATTTCAAGTGAAAACAATAATGAACCGAAGGAGCATAAACAAGTACCAAATCATTCAGCACTAACATAGTTTTATACGATTACAGAACTGCAGCTTGTGCTATATCGATGGCTAGACTACAAACGAAGATTATGAATGTTCACTTCAAGAACTCTATTAAACATAACATAGAAGCTCCTCATGCGGCTTGATGTGGGGAGATTAACTCTTAGCTGCAGCAATTACAATAACTTCATCGAGAACAGGGCCACAAAGAGTTCCAAAGTCATTGACCTTGGTGTGATAAAAAGAGCTGAAGAAAGTTAATCTGGTCCTGAATGATTCTGCTTTAAACTGGAATCTGAAAGTCTGAAACTTCCCCTTTCCTTCCGACTTGAAGGGGGCTTTCATGGTAACTTTAGCAGCAAATGCTTCAATCATCATTGATCCATGGCAACCATTCTTTGCATCTCCCACAGTGAATGAAATATTATAGACCTTGTTGGGGACTGTCCTGATGATTTGTGCAATGGCGCTCTCTCGGCCTGCAACAAGTTCCACTGCTGCATGTCCAAAGGGAATGCTGAAATGCTTCGAGTCTATGAACTTCACAGCCTTGAGGGATTCAATAATCCAAGCAGGAAGTGGAGACGTAAGATCTTCCTGTTTTGGAGGCAGCAGGACACCATGGGAAGAGTTGAACAGGCGATGAGGACCCTCCTCAAAACCATTATTTCTGACCAAGTTTGCTGCAAGAAATTTCAGTTAATTGGATTAGCCAACAAGGGAAGAATGCTTTAGACATAAGAATTACAGGTAAGATAAAGATAGATCACTAATGCAATGTGACTATGACATGGAATCACTATACAGGTGTACACTACACTACTGAACAGAAAAAGAAGCTTTGCCACTGTATGATGACCGTTATTTGAAAACTCTTTTTTCACATATTCATTTTCATCCGAACACTCACAAAATAAAATAATCTGCACGTAAATCCAAAACTTTTCCTTCCTTTCTAACCACAATTTGTCCTAAAAATCATTATTCAAAACATTATTTTGGCCAAATAATGGCCATCAAATGGGGGCAAAATCAAGCCTATGTATTGTTTAGTCATGTCCTGCACACCAATCATGTTCATCAGACAAGTACAGATCTTATTGGATAGATCTGGGAAAGCAAGAAATAAACTTCAGTTTGTTTTTCAAGTTGGACAGTGAAATCTCAAAACCTATGAGATCCAATCTGTATAACATAAAAATATCTGAAAACAACTTCATGCTGCCGCAAAAATAGCATCAGTTGACATGATTCAGGTGTGCAGATGCAACATTTACACATGGAAAGGCTTAGCAAATCATTAACCAAAGCAACAAGAACTAAAAGAGACTATCACCTTTGGTGGGCTTCGGAGGAAAAAGTTCTTTGATAGCTACAGCATCCAAGAGAGGCCCACAAGCAGGATCTTCTTGCATTCCAGGATTGTGAAAAATAACCTTCCCAGAATCAGAACTGGCTCTGAATCCCCAGGCATAAGTATCACCACCATTGCTGCTGTACAGAGTTTGTAGAGGGAGGTCTCCTGATTGTGGAGGAACAGAAACCCTCAGCACCTCATCTTGTGCACAAGTTCTTGATGCACTAAATGTAAGTGCATATAATGATCCCTTCTTGACTGGGATTGTTTGGGAAATCGAGGCCTCGTTCCCGAGCCTCACGGCGTGGACGCCATGGGGGACGGCAAAGTACATTCCACCGGGCTGTGGTCCGCCAGAAATGTACTCAACTAAGCCATTGATTTCCCATTTAGGAAGTGCATTTTTGCCTTGAAGCACTGTTTTCTTGATGTCAGTGGGTTTTGGTTTCTCTTCAAAGTTGCCATTTGAGAGGAGTCCTAACAAAATTTAAATAAAATGCGAAAAAGGAAAACTATATTTCAGCTTCCATTATGCAAACAAAAAGATTTCAACATTGCACAATATCAGATCTAAACTCACAGAGAGAGAGAGACAGTAGGAACCCAAGATTAAGTTTCTAAGAAGGGCCAAAGCAACAGAAATGAGCTCAAAGAAGTAAAATAGAAAAGGGTTTTGAGCTTTACCTTCCAAAGGAGCAGGTGCAAGAGCAGAGACAGTGTAGAGAAAGCAGAGAGGCGCCAGGAGAAAAACCTTCATTTTCAATGTGTGTGTGTGTGTGTCAAAGATAGTGTCAAAAAGGCTTAACCCAAAGGGACTTTCTGCGCTTTGCTTTATCTCATAAAGAGGACCGTCTGAAAATTAAAGAAGTGTAAGACTAGAAGAAATAGGAGTTAAATGTTTCGATGATTGCTGAACTGTTCGGCTCTATTATTTTTTATTAAATTAAATTAAATTTTTATATCTCCTATTATTAACCACATAATTTTTAATAAAATAATATTACACATAAATCAAAAAAATTTCTTTTCTTTTCAACCACTCATTTTTCAAAAAAACACTATTCAAAACGTTATAATCTCCAAATAATGGGTCTCAAACGGGGGCTTAGGTTAATTTATCCATTGCTTACTAAAATTTAAAATGTTGAGTTTTGACAATTAAATTTTGAAAAATATTATATATTACTCATTAGGATAATTTTCATCTCACACCTCTAACGAAATTGGTGACGTAAATGATAGAATGCACGCGTAGCATCCTATCATGCCGTTAAACTTTGAGGTAGTAGAAATTTTGGCCACTAAACTTAGAAAAATGTCTTTTATTGCTCATTGAACTTTGAGGTGGTTGAATTTTGGCCATTGAACATTAAAAAAGTCGAACTTTGACCACTAAATTTTGAAAACGTCTTCTATTGCTCACTATAAATTTGGATTTAACCACACATTTATACAAAACTCAAATTTTTCCCAATTTTTTAACCACGCATTCTCCAAAAAATATTATTTTTAGAACTTTCTCTTTTTTCTTTTTTAAATAATGGTCATCAAATAGGGTCCGAAATTCATTGTTAAAAAATTTTGGATTTAATTTAATTTTTACAATAAATATATTGTGTGTTTCATTACAATTAGTAGTCACTTTCTTTGCATTGCTTTGCAAGCATTGTCTATACCACTATGAATGATTAATCAATTACAATAGTTAAATTCAAATTTAATTTATATTTTTTTTTTAGAATTTGAAGTTATTTTCATCATAATATTTGAATTTTACAACGAAACACACGATGAATTTATTTGTTGTTAAATAGAATTAAATTAAAATTTAGAGGGTGTTTGGGAGCTATTTTATGTAAAAGTGTATTTTTGAATAGTAAATTGATGGGAAATGTGTGGTTGAAAAATAAGGAAAATTTTTTTATTTACGTGTGATATTATTTTAATGAAGAATGTGTTGTTGAAAATAAGAGAGAAAGAAATGCATTTTAAAAAAAATGGGTACCAAACGGGGCTTTGGTGTGAGACATAGAAGACATTTTTTAAAGTTTCGTGATAAAAACACAGCCATACTCACTGAACTTTGAGCTGATCGAATTTCGGCTACTGAACTTTTAGATAGTTGAATTTTAGCCACTAAAATTTGAGACAGTCGAGTTTTTAACTAGTGATTTTTGGAAAATGTGTGGTTAAGGCCCCATTTGGTATTCATTTTTTTCAAAATACATTTTTCTCTCTCTTCTTTTCAACCATACATTATTAAAATAATATTACACGTAGATCAAAAAAATTTCTTTATTTTTCAACCACACATTTCTCATCGATTTACTATTCCAAAATGCGTTTTTACATAAAAATGGCTCCCAAACACCCTCTAAAAAGTTGGAAAAATATTAGAATTTCCATATAAAATATTTTATTGTATAGATGTGTGGTTAAATCCAAATTTATAGTGAGCAATAGAAAATACTTTTCAAAGTTTAGTGGTCAAAGTTCAACATTTTTCAAGGTTCAGTGGTCAAAATTCGACCATCTCAAAGTTCAATCAGCGATAGAAGACATTTTTCAAAATTTAGTTGTCAAAATTCAACCATCACAAAGTTCAATGGTGTGACGAGACGTCATATGCATTCTGTCAGCCACATCACCAATTCTGTTAAAAGTTTGAGACGGAAGTTATACTAGTAACGTACATTTTTTAAAATTTAGTGATCAAAACTCTACATTTTAAATTTTAGTGAGCAATCGAAAATATAAACCTAAACTCAACAATTAAAGATATGGACCTAAATTTTCGTGATCATTCGAACAAGAATTATGCTACTTGTACATTATGCTTTACATCATCTTTGATATTGTGCCATGTGTCGGCACATGATTGAATATGTTTTGAATTTAACACACTTTCCCGTCAAAGACAATTTGAATTTACATACAATATCAAACATAATGTACAAAATAAAATATACAAGGAGCATTATTCTTCTAACAATTAACTTCAAGAAAGAGCACGGGATCAAGTCTGCAGGGTGATAATTTGTCTGCTTGTATCAAACTGTCTTCACTTTAGAAATTAGAACTAACCCTTTCTCCTTAGTCCATGCAATTAATGCCGACAATCTATAATCATCATATCCATTTTTTTTTTATCAAAAACTCAATTTTCAACTATACATTCTCCAATCAAATAATTTTACATATAAATCGATTTTTATTTTTATTTTTTAATCACATATTTTCCAAAAACATTATTTCAAAATATATTTTTCCCAAAATGAGACTTATGCCCCGTTTGTTTCCCGTTCTTTGATCACAAAAATGAATAATATAATCGTTATCTATCACATCAAATCACCATATTTGACTTTTTATTTTTTGTGGGTCTCATAACGACTATATTTTTTATTCTCATTCTCACAAAAATGAGAATCAAACGGAGCTTAAACACGAACTTATATTTTTATTGCTTGGCGCTTGCTCTACTGATTTGAGAGGCAGTTTTCAATCCTTTGAAATTTGAATTTTGAATGGATGTCAGTACTTTGGCCTTTTGGCCCCTATTTGATGGCTTTTATTTGAAAAAATAATATTTTTAATATATATATATATATTTATTTATTTTTATTTTTTTAAGAGGGTGTTTGAGAGATATTTTAATGTAAAAATACATTTTTGAATAGTAAATTGATGGAAAATGTGTGGTTAAAAAATAAGGAAATTTTTTTGATTTATGTGTAATATTATTTTAATAAAGAATGTGTGGCTGAAAAGAAGAGAGAAAAAAATACATTTTGAAAAAAATGGGTACCAAACGAGGCCTAAATATGCCCTTGTTTGAGTAGTATTTTTTTTATAAAAATACATTTTTGAATGGTGTAATTATGGAAAATGTGTGGTAAAAAAATTTTAAAAAAATTTGAATTTATGTGTAATATTATTATATTGAAGAATATGTTGTTGAAATGATATCAAATCCCTACTTAAAAATATATTTTTTTTCCAAATAATGTAGGGGCCTATACGATTAATGAATAGGAAAAATTTTTAAATTTATGTATACAATGTTTTAGAGCATGTTTGAGATTTATTATTATTTTTTTTTTGCCTAAAATTTTATTTTGGAATAATAGATTGATGAAGAATATGTTATCAAAATAAGGAAAAAATTTGGATCTGTGTGTAATGTTATTTTATTGAAGTATGTGTGGTTAAAAAAAGATAGAAAAATGTATTTTCAAAATAATGAGTTTCAAACAAGGCATTAATGTGTTTGATTCTCTTAGAACCTAATTGGACGCAAATTTTCGAGTATACCGTCGGATCCAAATTTAGAATCGTTAGGTTCATTTTCATTCGGTTCGGTTCTTAGGTTTCGTACTATAATTAAAATTTTTAATGTTTACAAGACTACGTTTATTCAACTAATGACATATTCAATCTTAACTTTTACAAAATAACGTAGTCTAATCTCATGTATCTTTTACGTATCTCTTTATTGAGTCATTCATAAATTTGATTGTTAAACTCACAAAAAAGGAAGATAGCAAGTTTACAATAATTAAAAGAGTCACAATCAAGCTTCAATTCGATTTCTTCTCAATGATAGAAACGACACTACAGTAGAATAATAAATTTAGGTAAAATTCAAGACAACTTTATTAAGTTAAGATTGAATCGAAAATTAGAACTAGGAAAATCATATTTTTTGTTTTAGCTAAATTAATTAATTAACAAATTTATTTAGAAAAATAAAATAATTTGATGTATTTAAAATAAATAAATTTTAAAAATTAAGGAGATTCAGTTCTTGATCGACTCATAATCTAGAACTGAATCGAATTGAACCGAACCGTTGATTATCAATAAAGATACCCAAAATGGTATTTAACTTAAGAAAAATCGTTCATTTCGATTCAGGTCTAGTTCGAAAGTTTTGTCCAGCCCTAACTTTATTGTGAGAATGTATGATTAAAAATAAATATAATAAATAAATTAAAGTAAAGTAAAGTAAAGTAAAATAGAATAAATGAAAGGGCTTAGGGTCTGTTCGGTAGTGATTATAAAAAATAATTTTTTGACTATTAGAGAGAAAAGTGGGTTCCACCTATAAGTAAATAAGTAAAAAATGACGGCGAAATAGTGAAATAATGGTAAAAAAATTAATTTTTTGAAGTAAAAAATTGCTACGAAACGAGGCTTAATCAATGTTGTAAAATCATGAAGACAAATATCATTATTAATTAGCACCCGTTTGATAATTATTATTTGAAAATTCTTTTTTTTTTTTTTTGACATACTCATTTTCAATTATACGTTCATAAAATAAAATATTTTGCACCTAAATCCAAAACTTCTTCTTGTTTTTAACCACACATTTTCCTAAAAATCACTATTCAAAATATTATTTTGACTAAATAATGGTCATCAAATAGGAGCCAAAAGAGTGAGTTTTACACTGTAGTCACACTCTATGCCCCTGTTTGATACCCATTAAATTAAATTACATTACATTCCATTTTTCTCTCTCCTATTTTCAACCGCACAATCTTTCATAAAATAATATTACATGTAAATCGAGAACGTTTCCTTCTTTTTTCAACTACTCATTTTTCTAAAAAATATTATTCCTCCAATTTTCATTATCAGGTAATAGGCATCAAACAGGGGCTATATTTCTACATGTATATGTTTTCGTACAACCTTGAAGTTGATCTTCGGCCCCGTTTGATTGCAAGAAATTTTCTATGGAACTTGGAATTCGAATTCCAACTTCCACTTTTGGCCTGTTTGATTGACAAAATTTTCCAGGGAATTGATTTTCCATGAATTTCTAGGTATTCTTGTTTAAT